GATGTCAGTTCTCCCTCAAATTGATTGATAGATTCAATATAATCCCAATAAAAATCCCAATAGTGTATGTGTATGTGTATAAATTGCAAGTTGATCCTAAAATTGATATGGAAATGCAAGGGTCAAAAATGGTCAAGACAATCTTAAAGAAGGACAAAGTTGGAAGATTTGCACTAACAGATACTAAGACTTATTGCAAGACTATATTATTTAAGGCAGTATGTTATTAACCTAAGGATAGACAGACACCTAGATCAATGTAGCAGAACAGAGAGTCCAAAAACATCCAAACATATGTGCACAACTGATTAATGAAAAAGGTGGTAATGCAGAGTGGTGGGGAGAGGGGTTTCTTTCCCCTCGAAATGGTGATGGGTCGATTGGATATCCATTTTTTAAAAAAGAAGAGTCTTGACTCCTGGCTTATGTTATGCACGAAACACATTTTTAGTTGTATTGTAAATTTGTGGGAAGTTGAAACAATAAAGATTCTAGGAAAGGAAAATGTCTTCATGAGCTAGGAGTAGGAAAAGATTTCTTGAACAAGACCAAGAAAGGACTAACAATAAATTAACAGACTGAGATTTTTGACTACATCATATTAGGAATCTCTGTATCAAAAGAAAGTGAAAAATCAAGCCATAGAGTGAAAAAGATATTTATAATACATATATCTAGCAAGGTGCTCTTATTCAGAATATAGAGAAAACTTTTACAAATCAATTTTTAAAAGTCAGACAACTTAATCAGAAAAAGGGCCAAAGTTCTGAACAGGCACTTCAGAAAGAAAATATTGAAACAGACAATAAATATATGAAAAGTTGCTCAACTTCATTAATCATCTGTAAGGAAACCACAAAATTTGTTGTCAAAGTTGGGGCACTTTTGAGAGTGAAAAAACATGCAATTAATAATTATGTCATTAAAACAGACTTAAACCAGGATATATGGCCATCCTAGTCATTAGAGATATTCAAATTTCTTTCACAATGAGATATTACCATGTACCTACGAGAATTACTGAAATTTAAAAAAAAAAAAAATTCTGACAGTATCAAATGTTCGTGATGATGTAAAGTAACTAGAAATCTCACACACTTCTAGTTGGAGGGTAAATTGGTACAACTATTTGGAAAACATATGTATGCATAAGAATATTGATAATTGCTTTATTTGTGATTACTTCAAACTGGAAATAACCCAATGTACATCAAAAATAGAATGAATTAACACTATAATATACATACAGTGGAACATGATGCTGCCATGAAAATTACCAAAATGAGTAAATCTCTTATTTATGCAAAATAAGCAAGACACAGAAGAATACACATTCAATTATTTCTTTTATATAAAGTTAAAAACAAGCAAACTAGTATATGGTACTTGAAGTCAATGTAGTGGCTGTCTTTTGGGAGGAAGGAAGGGGCATAAAGGTGACTTCTGGGAGGACAATATTCTATTTCTTGATCCCCGTGATGGTTGCATAGGTATTTTCACTTTGTGGAAATCCATCAAGCTATATATACTTAAGATTTTTGCACCTTTTTACATGCATGTTAATCTTCAAAAAAAAAAAAAAAAGAAACTAACATGTTACTACAATGAATAGAAAACATTTGGAAAATTAATTTCTCAAAGAAGAAAAAGAAAGATATCCAAATTTAAAATTTAACTGTGTAAATTAACTTCCAATTTCAAATGTTGAAAATATGCAGCTCTTAACCTCTACCATGAATGTTTAAAAGTATCTTTTTATCTCAATAGCTATGATCTAAAACTTTGATATCTCATTTTTTCTCCTATAGTACTAAGATGACAGGTTGACCTTTCTCAACTGGAAATCAAGGTCATGTTAACTCACTGAAACCCTTTTGGTCTTAGCAGCTCCTCTCTAATCCTTCAAATATAGACCATTGTTTTTAATATTAAGTGGAGCTTGCTACCGAATGATGTTTGAGGCTGATAATTATACCTTCATGTTTTAAGTCTGTCACCTTCTGACATCTGTTAGGGCACTATATTAGTCCATTTGTGTTGCTTATAACAGAATACACTGAACTGGATGATTTATAAAGAAAAATGAAATTTATTGCTTACAGTTTCTGAGGACAGGAAGTCCAAAGTCCATCTGGTGGTGGTGACAGTGACCCAGGGATCTCACATTGCAAGATGGTGGAAGCAGAGAGAGTAGGACAGACTCTCCTCTTCTTTTAATGCCCTCAGAACCATGCCCCTAACCACCATTTTTAATCCATTCACTCCCGCATGGTCCTACAATCCAATCACCTCTTCAAGACTCCACCTTTCAATTACCATAATAGGATTGCCCCCCTTAACAGTCACAGTGGGGTTCAGATTCTAATACATAAAACTTGGGGGAAACAATTCAAGCTTCAGGGAGTTTGGCGGGGGGGGACATAATTCAATCCACTACAGGTACAGAATGAAGATCTTTGAACTGCTACATTTGTCTTATCTTTTCCAATTTCTATTTTTTTTGCATATGATTTTACAGCATACATAATTTAGTAACAGTAAAAATATAGAGTATTAAAAGTAAATGTATTATAGGCTCAAACATTTTTACTGAGAAGTGTGCCCAATCAAAGACAAAAATTGACTATTGGTTGAATAAAAATGTTTTAAATACTCAGAGCAGAAATAGTTGCCAGAATTCTTGTCTGGTGGTGTGGTTGTAACCAAGGTAGTTTTATATCCGGCTCTCTATGCTGCAGGGATTGGGAGAGGTAGTGTTTGGGATGTTTTGGTTGATTCACATTTGATTTGGACTTGATTTCCTTGGGATGTTCATTGTGATGTTATAAGCAAAAAGAGGCAGGTAAGTGAGTACATACATTAAAAACTAGATTGCAATGTATGAAATGACTTTTTAAAAGTTATTTTTGAATATCTATTATAAAAAATGGTAATCTTCAAATTAGAAGTGGGTATTTAATTTTAATTAACTTCTTTCTTAAATCCTAGGCTGACCAGATATCCGGTTTTCACATAAGATCTGTTCTCTGTTTTAATTTTAATTAACTTCTTTCTTAAATCCTAGGCTGACCAGATATCCGGTTTTCACATAAGATCTGTTCTCTGCGTCCCTATTTGGAATAGCAACCACCAGATAATTGGTAAGATATTTTCTAAATAGTTCAAACTTGTTGTATAAAGAAACAGAAATTTGCTTTAAAATACCCCTATGTCTTTTTTATGTGTCCCCCTTTTTAGGTCCAGGACTCATCAAACTAGGTCTCATACTCTTGTATGATCTCATAAACACAGACTCCTAATAAATGGACATTAACCAGAACGTGAAAAAATATTTATTAAGCTTTAAGAACCAATAAATTTTGAAGTTGGAGTGGGTCTCAGAAATCAACCAATAGAATTCTTTTATCTTGCCTTGTGGAAGTTGAGGCCCAGAGAGAGATAGATAGAGAGACACAGAGAGAGACAGAGAGAGAAATGACTTGTTTACATCTATGCTTTTACACCTGATTTAAATGCAAAGAAAGAACATGCAGTGTTAGACATATGCTGAACATGCATCTTTCTGCCTAGACATTTCTGAAATAGGCCATACTTTCTCCAGAATAAGGGCATTTTGGTCAAAGCCACTTCCAGTTTTTCTCATCCTCTTTGCCCCTTTTCCTTCCCCTCAAAAAACTCAGTCAGGAAATTATCAAACCCAAGAAAAAAGCCCAAGCAAGAAGAATTTATGGTTAATGTAGAGAAGTCATGAGGGATGGAGACATTAGTTAAATTATTGAAACACAATGAAAATCCATTATCAAACCCAAGAAAAAAGCCCAAGCAAGAAGAATTTATGGTTAATGTAGAGAAGTCATGGGGGATGGAGACATTAGTTAAATTATTGAAACACAATGAAAATCCGATTTTTTCCCCTAAGAAACATAAGGAAACTAATGCATTCGGTAACTAACGTATCAATTTGCCTCTCTCTGTTTCCCCCTAAGATTGCTTGTTAAACTCTAAGGTACTGCTGCTTATCAAAGGGTTTGGTATTCTGTGAGTGTTGTCAAGACCTGAATTCTGAAAAAAAATTTTATATCTTCTAGCATATGACTTACTCCCTGGAAAGTCATATGCTAGAAGGTAAGTGTTTTTAAAATACAAGCATATTTTAGAATTACAGGGTTTTGTGTTTGTACTAAATGGGGGAATAAGCTCATGATTTTCAAGATTGTTGAGTTTTTCTAGTAAGACTTTTGTGTTTTGAAAGTCATGCCCTAAAACATGGGGTATAATGCTAGAAGTGAACTTTGGAAAGAGTAAGAACTCATAAATTAAGTTGGTCAGAATTACATGTACCCCATTGGTAGCAGGCAACAGAACTAACCTTGCTTTCAAGGTTAACTGTATCATATTAATTTCTATTGCTTATAGTAATCCCTAACATTTCTTGAATGTTTACTGCACATGGAGCAATATGCTAAGTGCTTTACAAACACTGAAACATTATCTAACTTAATCTTCATAACCGTTTTTATCTCCATTTTACAGATGAGGAAATTCAGTACTAAAAATCTAGGTCACTTTCTCAAGGTCACACAGCTGATGATGGAGTTGAAATTTGAACCAAGTCAATCTAAGTCTAGAGCCTAAGTTCCTAACCACTGTACCATACTGCCTCTCTCAAGCATTGTGCTTCAGGGAATTGAAAATACATATATTCAGTTACATATATACTCAATTACATATGTGTATACGTGTATGTGTGTATATACATGTGCACATATATATTTATATATGTCTGCCCGGTATATCAGAGTTATTGTGCATAATCACCTTAAAATCCATTTTCAGGGATCAGATTAAATGTCTGGTAGAACTCAAGACTTGACTGAGACTAGTTTGAATAGCACAGCCTTGAAGGTAGACTGCCTCGCTGTATACCTCAGATTTATCGTCACGGCGTCACCAGGCATTAGAGAGACCAGAGTTTAAACTGAGTGTCTGCGGTTACTTAAAGGAGGCATAGAGCCAGCTGTGGCTGACTCTATAATAGTAACACAATGTCCAGTACTGAAAATGACCACATACCCCAAACTTTTCTCACAGGGGTGGCTCAAGTGTTAAACAGACTTGATGGGAAACCTTTTGATGATGCCGATCAACGACTTTTTGAGGTAAGAAAAATAAACAAATTTATAAACCAAGAGCTATAGCTGAGTCACCAATAGTCTCCTGGTTGCAGCATGCCTAAATTTGTAAGGATAAATAATTATTAATCAAGTATTATAATATTTAAGGTGTGACAACATTTAAAGGAAGATTTAAAGAATGTATAAATGCTTAGATAAGATATGATTCTATTTTCCACTAATCAGATTATTTTGTAATCATCAACTATTTTCATCCTAATTTTATTACAGGAATGAATCTCCCTCTCTGCTCTCCAAAGTGGTGTTGTCATATCCTTGTCTTGTTTGTGTGTGTTCAGAGTCATGAGACCCCTAGCTGGCTCTGCCAGGTGTACCACCATCCTCTTTTTTATTTACAAGCTTCCACTCACCCTAGTCCCTCTAGCTGGAGATGTTACCCTTGACTGGGCCTCTTCATAGACTGCACCAGTAGCCAACATGAAAACCCTGTGATTATTTTCTCTAGCCAAGAATACCTCACAGCTTCTTTAACTGGCTAAATCAATACTCCTTCCCCTTACATTTACCTTATGGTTATGCGTACTTAGTTTCCTTTCCAGGATATTTTATAGCATAGCTACTGAAAGAGGTTGCTTTTGGTTAAATAAAATGGAAATACTAAAATCACTTCACAGCCTAAATAAATTAAGAACACATTTAAGCAGACTGTAAGTATGTTTTTAAATGCATGAAGTAGTTTCTCCACAATGACATTAAATTAATAATTTTCCTCATGTGCAATGTGAGCTATAAAGTTGTTACATGACAATAGTAATTAAGAATTTTAATGTGCATATTTCCCCAAGGCCTACCTCTGTGTAAAATAAAATTATATTTTCAGACTCATCCCTGATGACTGTCTGCTTTCATATTAGAGTTTTGCCAATGAGTTACTGCAGTTTTTAATTAGAGCGGTTTCTCTTTCCTAGGCTTTTGTCATCTTCTGTGGCCTTGGCATCAACAACACAATTATGTATGATCAAGTGAAGAAGTCCTGGGCCAAGCAGTCTGTGGCTCTTGATGTAAGTACAGTGTTTATGTCACAATCATTTCTAACAGCCCTAGTTTTATGACAGAAAAAAATCATCCTTGTTATGAAGCTTAATTTCTCACTTTTCAATTATCTACTTATTGGGTCTTAATCATTTGAGGGTCATGGGTTCAAGTTTGATGAAAGCTAGAGACCCTCTTTAGACGAATGCACCAATGTGGCATGTAATTTCAGGGAGCTCACAGATCCCTTGAGGCCCATCCATACATGTTTTATGGTTAGATATAGATTCTAAATATTAGATTTATTAAGTAGTGATAATACAAACATAATTTTTCCGGATTTAGAATATGTTATGAACTTATATTTGAATATGTATAGGTATTCTATAGATTCACAACTTTTCTTATCATAGGAGAAAACCTCACTATGAAAATATGTAACCCAGATGGGGGAAGTTGCTCCTGTCGTTATCCAACCACATCCCCCACACCCACTCCCACCCACCCCACCAAGAACTCCAGCCTGTTTCCTATAGCTGCAACCATGGCTCCTCTCAGACCCACTAAGTTCTAAGAGAATCATTCTCATCTCCCATGAATCTCAGATGCTTGCTTTGACCCAAGGCATATTTTTTTTCCAGCTTTGCTCTGTAGATAATACCAAAGATTTTATATATATCTATGAAATGTTTATTAATTAGGGTAGATAAAATACCAGTACCAAGATAACAGTATATAGAGCAGTATAATCTAATACATGTACAATCTTCAAAATATTCTGTGTGCCAAGCCAGATACTAGTAGGAAGAGAAAACCTAGGGGAAATATAAGTAGGCAAACCAATGGTCCCTGCAGTACTCTGATTTGAGATTTAAAAGACATAAAATTATAGTCATCTATCTATATACCCTTTTTCCCCCTTCTGGCTAGACCATGAATTCTGGAAGAATAGGATTTTTTGTCTTTTTTGTAATCTTATTTGCAGTGCCTAGCAGGATGCTTAGCACAGAGGAGGGACTTACTGAATGGTTTTTTGTTAGATGGAGGGAAGAAAAGAAGGAAGGAAAAAATGGAGGTCAGGGATTTGGGGGGTTCTCCTTCTGAGATAGCCCTGCTTTATTTATATGTAACGTCTTTACAGTAAGGACTAAAAACAGTATCGATAGGGCAAGTTAATAAATGGGTGAACTGTAAACATGCAACTAACTGATTAGAATCACTACTAGAGCAGTGTGTGCAGAACTATGACATCTTGGCTATGTCACCCATCTCAATTGTGAAAATTAAATGAGATCATTCATGTGAAGATTTTAATGAGCAGTCAATAAAATTATAGCAATAACAATAATCCCTTTATTATTATTTGTAGTAGTATGCTTATTACTGAGAAATCACCATGAATTGGGAGAAAGAGCAAAAAACAGGAATTTGGAACAGCAAATGCTGGGCCGTGCACCTTCGCTGTCTTCAGCTTCCAATCTCCCCCCATTGCCTCACCCATTGGCCCTTAGTTCCTGGAACTATAAAAAGGACACAGCACACACCAGTCCCATCTAAGCCCTGTTTCATTTTGGCATGTTACTTATGTTTAATTAATGCACATATCACACACACAAAGAACATCTCAGAGGTAACTGTGATCTCTCTCCTCTCCTACCTCCTGGAGTATCCTCATCCTGTTTAGGAGAGACTAGAATAACTGGTAAAGCATGAATGACTGTTTACCCCCATGCGAAGGCACCATTCTCACTGGCGCCACTTCCTAACTCTCCTGCTGCCCCGGGCAGCCACCGTTACCATGAGTTAGAAAGTGCTAATGTGCCCTACTACCTGTAGCCACAGTCTCCTCACCCATAAAGAGTTTATCTGGGTTCATAGTGAACAACATCATATTTGTGTAACTCACATACCTTCTGTCCTTAGGCTCAAAAATTATTACTGACACTGCCAAACTTCTGGCCTAACTCTGAGCCTTATGACAATCTCATCCTTTCAAGGAGTTGATTTATACGTGTTGACTTGTGTGTTCCACATACTTTATTTTGTGCCCGTGCCAGAATGGCATCCCCACTCAAAATTCTAGTGTTGCTATCCCACCCTCACCCAACCCCCACCCCACTTTGTATCAAATTCTTGACTCTAGTGATCAGGTGGCATCCACTGCACTCCTTAGCCTAGAAATATGCAAGTAATCTGGAAGGACTTCTTATCCCAGGACTTTATGAAGACAAAAAAGACTTGTTGAGAGCTACTAAACCCAATTCAAGAATGAGATCTACATTGTGTTATAATATGCATTTACTTCTGAATGAATATATATATTTATTACTCAAAGCATGCCCTTTGTCAGCAGCCTGTGTTATTATATATGTTTCTGTCAAAAAGACCAGAAATACGAAAAAAGAAATATAAAAATTCCCATGTCAAAAACAGCCAAGTAGGTCTTCAAAGGCTATATATCTCTAAGGGAAAAGCTTCCCTAAAAAAAGACTTGCCAAACTGCAAGTCCCTTCTCTGTTGTCACACACTGGTAACCTCAGCTCATTTTAGCCATAATCCACACATGGTGAAAAATAGAAATATAAACACAAAATATTTTCTACTTTTCTGACCTTTAAAAAGCAGAGTGACTAATACATTATTTGGATTTTGGTTAACAGTTGAATTATCAACTGAATTATTTTGATGACTGCTTTGCTTAATTTCTCATAATTTAGTCTTGCATAACTTAGTTATGCGATTCTATCATAAAAATCTCTTTTCCCAAATATAGAAAATTAATACAGTAAGGCTCTTAGATGGCAGAGATGCTCCTAAAGCTAATAATGGAACAAAGAGAAGAATTTACTATCATTTTTAGTAACATTAATGATCCTGATTTCCATTCTGCGTGAGCAGCCAATAGCGAAAGAAGAGCTATACTAATGTCTGTTCACATTTTCTGAGAGTAAAAATCCTAGGATAAAAGTGGGAAACTTTACCTGAATGTCAGAATACAGAGAAAATACAATATGAATGTAGATGTGGAATATTACTTCCTCATTTCGAACATCAAGAATTGTCCTTTAGGGTGTCTTTCATAGTTACTGCAAATGAAGCCTTACCTAATATTGATGAGAAATTTTCCAGGAAATATAAGTCTGTGTGTTAAGGGACACTTGACACAGCTTTATAATCAGAAGAGGGAAGTAATAAGTGTCAAACAGAGGGTGAGAAAAAGGCATAAGCAATCAGGAGCCAAGCCCCATTTATTCCACCTCCCCAACACCTCTCCCATCTATTTCCTCCTTTCCAATTGCCACAGCAACCATCCTACTGAAGGGCTTCATTACCTCTTGACTGGGCAATTGCAATAGCCTTCTAAAGCATATTTTAGATTGCATCGCTCATCCACACATAGAACTCATATTACTCCCCCATTACCTATCAAACTACAAATGTTCTGGCCTTTGGGGCCCTTCGAAGTCTCATACCAAACTTCTTTCCTATCCCAGGCTCTCATTTCTCTTCTCAGAGTATTTTGTGCTACTTAACGCACTCAACTACTTCATAGTCTACAAATCAGCCACCTGCTTCTCTGCCATCTGATCTTTACTCTAATGACCCCTCCACTTTTGTTATTCTCTGTTCCAATTATGCCATCTCCTCTCAAAATTGTTCCATCATTCAAAGTTTGATTTAAATGTAATCTTCTCTATAAACCTTCTAATCCTGTGGTTATTTGTTCCTCTTTGCTCTGTATTATAGTGAATTGTGAGTCTGTATGTTTTCTTCTTCTAGGACATATGTGTCTTGAAGTGTGTGATCATACCTTATCTTTTATTCTTTTCAGTGTTTTATATAAAATAGGTACTCAGTAAAAGTGCACTGAATAAGTGAATGCTGCCACAAAGAATCATTGTGGTCTGCCGTGGCAACATTCTGAAAGGGAAACACGTGGGCTGGGGTGAAGGAGCTGGAAGTCCCTCTTAGTGACAGTCCCACTGGCCACAACTGGCGTGGCATCACCTCCATATTCCCTTCCCCCTCTGTAGGACATGGGTACAGAGTGGTCTTCATTTGGGGGAAGGAGGGGGGATGGGAGTAGGGATCTCTTCCCAGACACCATGTCCGATGGGGCTTTTCCTTAGATGAGGGTCAAGGAGCCAATCTGGCTTCCTGAATTTCAGGGAGGAGGAGAGAAGCCAAAGAGATGATTCTCCCATGAGGAATCTCCTAAGCTCCAAGGAGAGATTTTCTCTAACTGGTGATAGAAAGAGCTAGACTCATAAGATGCAAGCAGAAGGCCCTTCATTCTTTCTCACCCCTCTTCCTTTAAACCTACTCACTCTACCTCATTCCTGGATGAAGTCTCTGGTAGATTCCACAGCTCTCCTCACACCCTGGGGTGTTAAGTCACCTCTGAGCTTTTCCTCTTCCTCACAGTTAGAAGCCCGTGGTCGGGAGAGGTCACAGTGGGCTTCTTCACTCTTCACAGGTACAGGGGGCAAGAGGGAGGTAGGATGGAAGGACAAATGCTTGCGTGATAGGTGCTGTCCAAGCCTGGTTGCAGAGCCCTCCGTGTCAAACACCAACTTTCTCTTTTTATCATGAGTTGCTTGCATAAATCCTTCAGTGCACTCTGTGGCTGGGAATCTCCTGCTGGCAAGTGCCCATGTGGGTTTGCCTCTCCTGACCAACAGTTTACAGTCCCCTCTCTGTCCCTGGCTTCCAGTGGCCCATCCTGATGCTCCCTCTGTGGGGGTCAACTCACTCCTTCAAGCAGTCCTCTTGGTCAGGGTCCTTTATGTTTTGCCTTTTTAATTGTGGTAAAATAAACACAACAGGAAGTTTACCGCATTAACCATTTTTAAGGGCACCATTCAGTGACAATAAGTAAGTACATTCACATTGTCATGCAACCATCACCACCACCCATCTCAAGAATTCTTTCATCTTGCCAAACAGAAACTGTACCCATTAAACACTAACTCCCCATTCTCCTTCCCTCCCAGGCCATGGCAACCACCACCTTACTTTGCCTACGTAT